AAAAAAATTGAGCGAATTTCATAAGGTTTAGAAGCACTGCACAACTAACTATGATAAGCTCAGCACCTAGAACATCGAATATGCCCAAGAATGTCTGTCTATAAAACGCACCCAGTGATGCTCGAGGACATCAATGTAGGCACGCACTATGATGTTTTTATCATCTGACGATTGGCACTGCTCGACGTATTTAAAAAGATGGTCACACTCCTCAGTCCATTGGTCCGAAAGTTTTGATGCTGGAAAGAAATGAGTGAGCCGAGCGCATCATCATGAAATATGTGGGAGGGCCACATTTACATAGAAAACATTGGATTACAGTGCTTAAAGGCAAAGGTCGGGCTCACGCACGCTAGAGAAAGTTCCCGTGCCTGGAGGTTGCATGTGGGTCCTTCACTGCTAGTGGAAAAGAGGGTTTTGTTAACGGCCCTGTCGACGGTATTTCTCATCGTCAGTTTTTTTGGCACCCCATCTGGACCAACCGCCTTTCCCAACCTTCATCTTCCCTAGTTCTCGACGAACCTCATCCTCTGTCCAGAGTGCGATGGGACCAGCTGTGGCCTCTGCTTGTGAGTTGTTCTTGTGGGGAGAACTCCTCGTTCAGAAGCTCTGTAGTACTCTTCCCACCTCCTCCTGACTTCGGCTGGCTTCCTCAGGATGGCACCGTTGCTGCTCTTCACACTCTTCACCCCTGATGTCTTGAGTAGCCGATGCCGGGCTTTAGCCAGTCTGAAGACGAACTTCTCTGCGTTTCTGCTTTCCAACTTCTCGTACAAGGCGTCCATTTCCGTGTTCTTTGCCTTGGCGACGGCAGCCTTAGCAAGCCTCTTGCAGGTTTTGTAGGCAGCGAGGTTCTCGGGACTTCGGGTCTTCTGCCAGCGATTTTTCCTTCTTCCGCCTAGAAACTCGTTGGACCTTCTTGTCCAACGGGACCACGACATCTTCCTTGATTCCACCTCGAGTCTCGCCCAGTACCTCCTTGGCACATCGCAGGATGGTCTCGGCCGCGTTGCTCCAAGTCCGCTGTATTGGCCCGTTAGGATTTGGGAGACCAACTTCCATTATCCTTCGTTTGAGGTCATCATTCTCCACTTGGTTGAATTCCACCTCCAGAGTCCCTAACACTCTACCTCCAAGCATCCCTCCAGGCCACTGCCGACGTGGCCATTCAGATCACCTGCTATGGTCAGGTAATCGCCTTCCGGAATCGATCTGATGGCTTCGTCCAAGGCTCAGGTAGAACTCGTCCTTCTCGGGGCATCCGGTCTGCGGAGCGTACACTGAGAGTATTGACCAGTACCCCTCCTTCGTGTCTATCCTCACAGCCATGATCGCTGATCCTGTTCACAGCGGAGACATAGTCCTTGAGCGACTCCGCTACCGCTATGGCCACACCGTTCCGCTTGGTGTCTTCTCCATTGTAGTAGAGTTTGACACCTTCCCCGATTTCCCTGGCCTTAGCACCTTTCCATCGCGTCTCCTGAAGGCATAGGACTTGGATATTCCTGCGCGTCATCAGATCAGCAACCTCTCGGGACTTCCCAGTTAGCGATCCTACGTTCAGAGTCCCTATTCGAACTAGCTTCTTTGGCCGAGGCCGTTCACTCCTCGGTAGCCCTCGCATACTGACCACAGAACTCGGGCGAGGGTTCTGCGCGCCACTTCCGGGTGACGTCCTAGCTTTATCACTGATTCTTTTTCGACTTTAGACATGTTTTGTGTGACTGGGGTGTTCATCAGCCGGCCTGTCAACCTGGGCCTGACGCTGGTACTAGAACCATTTTTGCAATTTTTGCAAGGCATGGTTTAGAGCCTCGGCAGGTTCGATCGGCAGAAATGAACTCGCAGCTTT